TAGAACGGAACTGCTCAGTAAATGAGGCAAGCCCAAAACCACTCACTTGGGAAAATTGGGACTCATTAGCCACAATCCCATCATTGATGATCTGCAGAGAAGTAGACATATGGTTGGATTGTGGAAAACTAGTATGTGACTTAGCGTTGTCTATAGACAGACCACATGAAGTCTCGAAAGTAGAGGTAAGTCTCTTGGGTCTGGGAGGAGACTGACATGGTACCTTGTTGACGTCTCTCATAATGGTATAAACAGAATCTCTAAGATCCTTCAAAGTAGAAGGAGTATCTTCAGCCTCAGGATCCTTACTGGAATTGGTAGAAGAATGACCAATTACAGAAGAAGAGATAGACACAGGAACAGAAGGTTGAGAAACATTCTGAGAGACCTGAGCTGGATTATCACCTTCAGAAGTAAAACCTTCTTCCTGACTGCCTGGGGCCACCTAAAAGCGTTCTTCCTCATCACTGTCCTCCGGGTCACTTCCAATATTATGATCTGGAAGGAGTGAAATCACTGGAAAATTTGACTCATTGGCAATGTTCTCTAGCGTACCCAGGCGGTTGGAGAAAGACGTCAATTCAGAAGAAATAGACTGACGAAAGTCGTCCAGAATACTCTTGAACCCATCTAAAGAGGGGCCAGAGTCAGTAACCTGATTAAACTGATGCCTAACAGAAGAGGTAGGCAGAGCAGCAGGTACAGATACACTACTACAACTACTAGATGACACTGTTAAAGGAGGAGCAGGAACTGACAGATTAGATGTAGTACTCTGAGGAACAATAACTGGTGTGGTAATTGGTCCACAATAAGGCCAGAAACCTGGGAAAGGCTGACCAGGAACCTGACTAGGAAAAACCTGATTAGGAAACCCTTGACCAGGAAACCCTTGACCATGAAACACCTGACCAGGAAAGCCTGAATAAGGATAACCCTGAGACCAAGGAGGTCTAGACCAAGACATGGCGTTACTAGCCGAAGCAGGTAAAGTGAAGCAACAGTATGACGCTGGTGCTCTAGACCCAGGTAAGTTAAGACCCATAAAAATACCAGGGTAAGATGAAATAGACCCAGTGGTGTCAACTGGCCTAGAAAATGTGTGCGTAACAGTGGCAATGGTAGGGACACCTCCATGATAACCGACAGAACCTGTATTGAGGGTCTGTTGACCGGTCTTAGTAGTCACCGAAGTAAAAACGTCGGTTAGTTGACTACTAATAGGAGGAGTTCCCTGCCTTACCGTTGTTGCGGTAACAGTAAAGGGTAACGAACCGTCTAAAAAATCATCATTACCTGTAATGGCCTCGAAAGGACTGGAAGCATTAAACTCCATAATTAAATGAGTATGAAGTTAAATACTTATAAAATATATTATTATAACAACAATAATTAATAAACAATGGTATGGGGATATCTACAATATTCACTATCGAAAAAACAAAAAACTTAAAAGTCTTCTCTGTAACACGTGTGTCTCGATGCGCAGGCGGAAATTAAAAGGATGATATAAAGGCATGGTTATACGGGCACTGCTTGGTCATCCTCTTCTCATTGGATGATATTTTTATTTGGGGTTTTCCGCCTGTCAGACTTGCGCAGATGGATGTACTCAGAATTTATGATGGTAGCGTATTTATTGACATAAAATTACAGTAGTCTAAGTTGGCGGTAATTTTAACTTAGAAGACGAAACGTACCTTTTACATTTGGAGGATTCTGATGATGGAAAGGTAATTATTGTTAATAATGATATTCTTTTGTTTGAGATGATTGTGATTTTTTAATTGATTTCAATTAAATGTATGCACATTTGAATTCCTTCCTTTCATATTATTCCGTTTATCACATAACAGACCTTGTTAAATAATGAGGGGGGGGGGAGTAGGAGGGATCCTGATCCCGAAATCCCGGGCTTAAAAACATGGAATCCCGAGGTCCCGAATTTAAAAATATTTAAATCCCGTCATCCCGAAATTCGAAAAAAGAATTCCCGGATCCCGAAAGGATCAATCCCGAAATCCCGAGCTTAAAAACTACCGATCCCGGAGTCCCGATAAAGGTCCTACCTTTCTCATTCTTTTGTAATTTCCCGTGTCCAACTAGACTTCATTTCCAGTTTTCACGGCACAATAATTTGACTTTCACGTGTTACGCTTACAAAAAATCGGCAATCCCGCGTCACGCTTAGACCCCAATGAGACCCACTTTCAAGATGTCAAACTTGCCGAGAATGAAAGTAGAATGTGATATGGATTTTAGACTCAGAAAGATCGTTGATCATAGTAAGGCACAATGTAGAAAAACTGTTTATATAAAAATTAATAACACACCACATAGCATTAATAAGGGGTCCGACGACTTACAGAAAAGGGCGACGATTTACAGAAAAGAACAGAAAAGGACCGAAAAGGACGAAAAAGAATAGAAAAGAACCGAAAAGGAAATCATTTTTTTTTGCAACCGAAGGAGACTACCAAATTGCAAAATCATTAAAGTCTATAAATGAAAAGATAGTTTCCAAAAAAACTTTCTTATTAGGTTTTGAAACCTTGTATTGCGACAGGACTAACTTACAATTGAAAAATTACCCTCTTATTATTACAGGTAGGGTCGGATGCCTATCTTATATACTACAAATAGGGCTATTCAAATGAATTTTGAAAAAGCTCATACATTAATTTATATGTTATATCTATTTAAGTATTTAACAATATCGACTGCATCTTTCATCCGCTTTCTCTTCCCTTTCCCAATCTGGTGGATTTTTTGCCTCTCCAATCTGTATAGACTTAATCAATTTTCTATCTCCATGTGCATTTCCTCACTTTTTTCATTATCCTTAGATCTCTTGTTTAATTTCTCTTTCTACTTCATGCGTCTTACTATCTCTCTGGCACCCTTTCTCATTTAACTTATAAATATATAGACGAACTATTTACATATATATACATATAATTACATTAAATTGAGCACAGGTTTTTTTATTTGTTAATAATCTCCATGCACAAGTTATTGCTATTTAAAAAATATAATATGCATATAAATGATAATTTATCATACTGGTCCAATTTTAATTTTTTAAATTCGACCAGGCCTTGGACAAGACATTTTCGAAGAAAGAACTAAAATAACACAGAGGTGTACTTTCTAGCTCATCTAGCCTTAAGCGTCATGCCAAGTATTGTCATTACTTAAAACCATTGGATATCAAAAAACCATTAGATATCTTCTAAGAAACAATTTCGACACTTAAACGAAATCTTTTACTAATGATACTGGGAAGATCCATAAATAATTTACAGTTTTTGTGGTCAAACCCAAGTAAGAAATGACCACCACAAAGGAACATAAATAGAACCATACACATAGTACATGAATGCAGGTTGTCAGATACCATCTCGCATATTAAAATCACATCATGCAGAAATGACCTAATGTGTTCCTCTCCTAATTATGAGTTTTGCAGCAATATCCAAAATCAAAGTTGTGGAACATATTTTATTAGAATCGTTGGTAATGCATGCAATTAGACCTGACTTGCAATTAGTGTCTCCTCCATGAGAGTCTTGAACATTAAAACTAAATATTAAATAAACGACACTGCTAATGTTTAGTGTTTGGTACAGGTTGGCTATCACTGCACAACACAGTTTAACCATGGAAGTATTATATGTCAATATTATACTTCCATGGTTTAACATAGAACCCTATGGGAAAAACAGAGAACTATTTTTGTCAGAAAACACTGTCAAACATCCAAATATACTATCCACACTGATCTGTGTCCACACTTTTATAGTTTTAAAATAAAACGAAAAACGCAGAAAGGGAGAAAAATCAATATTTAAGGACAATTAATATTAAGGAGTTGATTTCTAATTAAGTTATCTTAACATATTTGTCGGTTGTATATGGCTGATCTATTTCCGCTAACATTTTCTTCAAATCTATAATACTTTTCAATAGTCAAAAATCAAGTTTACAGTTTATTTAATAGTCAAAAATCAAGTTTACAGTTTATTTATTTAATGACAATTAGCCGCATCTGGGACTTACATGAATAATACAGTCTCTTGGTCACAGGTTGTTAATTCCTTCATTTCTTTTTAAATTCAAAGACTAATTGCTAGTTTTATTTATAAACAACAACATTATTTTATTAAAATGCTTATTGTATTTCGATACTATGCGAATAAAAGTCTTTGATGTGTACATCAAAAGGCACATTTTGTTTTATGGTGTATAACAGGAGTGATTTATATTGTACAGTGTGCAAATGATTACTTGTACATATATAAATTTTTTTTTTACTGAATACCAAGTTATAATACTGTCTTTTTTTTTGTTTTTGGTGTCCACATATCCCTTTAAAATGCACAATCTAAGTTACAGTTATGCGTTCATTTATTACGAGGAATTGTTAACAATATCAAAATTTCGGGTGTATATAAATATGAAATATATATATGTGTATGCCCTTTTCGGTTCCTTTTCGGTTCTTTTCTGTTCTTTTTGGTCCTTTTCAGTCCTTTTCTGTTCTTTTCTGTAAATCGTCGCTCTTTTCTGTAAATCGTTGGACCGTTAATAAGCACTTGGGGACAGACAAGTTTTTAGTCCGCCCCCCCTTTTTTTTTCCTTCCAAATTCTGTTATTTTTTTCAAAGTTCTGATAATCAATGACCGCTGTGGATAGTAAACTAGAAAATAATAGTAAATAATAAATACATGTCATATCAAGTTTGTTTATGTTGATAAATGACAGAAAAACGTGAAAATAATTAAGAGAAAAACAAAAGCGGATTTTGGAAAAAAGGGGATGGTTTAAAAAAAATGACCTGTTCCTATGATACCTTGATGTCATTTTAAAGTATACAGTTAGGCTCATAAAAACTTATCTCTATAAATTTAATAAAAAAGGACACTTCCAGGTTTCCGAAATTTAAAGACCAAGTCCGTGTAAGAGTTTTTTTTATTATTTTATTTATTTATATTTCCGGCATGTGGAAAGCGGATTATTTTGATTGACTGTTGCGTAAGAAAGGTCATTTTTCACCTATAATTACTAATGAAAAAGGAGCAAGGTAACCATGGGATTATAAAGTTTAAAAAATGTCACTCAGTAATTTATTTTTACCAAAAATATGACAACAATATTGTTTTTTGCTTTTTAACGATCGAAGGTCAAAATTTATCTCGTGATGTCCGGTTCATTCATATATACTGAATAAAAGAGAAGCGTATTTATTGTTTCCATCGCGGTGGACATAGAAATACTTGGCATCGTTTTTCCATGCATGTGTGCGTTCGTCTGGTCTTGAGTCCCTGTCAGACTCACGCGTACACAGACACTGAGACAGTCACAGTGACCGATTGGAACTCTTTAACAGCAACAGAAGCCGAGGCTCACAGGCACTTGTCCCGAGCTTCCAGTCGGTTCCATGAAAGAGAGAAACATACGAAAAAACTCCACATAGGGGAATATATATTTAAATCAGGGCGTTTTCAAGAACTGGCAAGTCATGATACCCGATCCTGCGCCTAAACTAACTTTCAAAATACTGTTAGAAATTTAAGCAGTATAACACCATGTAAAATCTTGTTATCGAGACAAATCAGTTTGTTTTCGGGATCTTATTTTGTTCTTGTTGATCTCGGGAAATCATGGTACCCCATGAGAAATGGTGTACTGTTAGAGGAATCTATTGTACAAGTTGTGTCAATTTTTGACCTTAGGATCAGGATCAGGAAAATAATCCCAGACAGCACAGCTCGCTGCAGCTCCAGTCCATCATTTGACTTACTTGGAAAATGTGGGACTGGCAGACTATATAGAGAGTGTTGAAAGCTTCCTCTTGTATAGGATACCAAGAAACAAGCCTCGGCACAGGCACTTGTCTCTGAAAAAGATTACCTATTAATATAACCATGATAACACAAGGTACCCTACTCGTATTTTTGAGAAATGTCACCCGGTCACGAACTTCCATTACATTTCGAATCTGTGGTTGTCTATCCCACTGAAACTTGTTATCACGTTAATCTACACTAAATTATCTACAATATGGTGTATAACATGCATGTTTCTTTTGTAGGAATCATTTGCAACAGGACTTCCAAGTATGTCAACCGTAATTATTTCATCTTCTCACAGCCCAGTGGAAATGTTAATCATGCAGTGAATGATTAATTATAAAAAGTATTTCCTAAAAACCTGTTAGTTTTTCTCTGAATAGAACTTATCATCCAGATAGTAAATTTGTAAAAGATTCTGTGAAAGAAAATCTAATAAGTGTTATTTGAGGTATGTCTAAAGAGTTACGAGTTTCTATTTTTAAACTCAAATTTTCCACATCAGTCACGTCTCAGTCCTCATAGCTAAACGGACGTGCTGGATCAGCTGATGATTATCTGCTAACTACAAGATGTTACGCTGGCTGTATGGTTCAAAGACAAGCTTCTCCATGTCTACAGCAATCTAAATTAACACCCTACAGTACAACAAGTAAATGGTCCCCATCAGCATTTACACCAAAACCAATTGTGGATGGGGGAGTGTGTTGTTGTCCAGACGTCTGAGGGCCCTGTATCTGAGGTGTTCGGTAAAGGATTATTCGCTTGTAACAGTATGACCAATATCTGTTGCAGGCCACCTTTAACAGGCTTGCTGCAGACATCTAGAACTGTGTCCACGACTCATCCACCAGTAAAACATCGATGTGGTTAAGGAGATGCTCAGCTGATCAACAAGGCCCTGGTAACAGTCATGGTGAAAAGATCTTCATAGTAAAACCAAAATGACCGCCTTCTTCCTGACCAACTTACGACAACAAAAGCATTTTAATGCTCACCATATGCCTTAGGGCACCAAGCCGACTGTGCGAGGGGGTTAATAGCCAGTCAAGATTGTAAAACACACCCACCATGACCATCAAATTTTCCTATTCCACCAATGTCATTCAGACACTCTCTGGACTTTACATATACAATTGAGATAACTCAAAAAATATTTATTTTTAGCAATAAGATTGACCGATCGGAAACTGAGATATGTATAATACCAAAGGGACAATTATTAGTCCCCTATCAACGAAGTCAGGGGGACTGTAGGTTTGCACTCCATTCGTCTGTCTGTCCATCCGTCAGTCCGGCAAATCAGTTTTCCACACTTTTTTTCTTTGTGCTTCAAGATATTGATTTGATATTTGGTATATTGTTTTATCATGACAAGTTACAGATCAAGATCGAATTTTGTTTCGGTCTGATGATTTTGTGCAGAGTTATGGTCCTTGGACTTAGAAAATTCACTCAAATAATTTTTTCGTCATGCTTGAAGATATTGATTTGATATTTGTTATATAGTTTACACCATGACAAGTTATAGATCAGGTTAGCATTTTGTTCCATAGTAGGGGACTATGTATTGCCATGCAATACTCTCAGAATGCTTGTAATTAATCATTTACTACAAGATTAACATTTCCATTGGGATGTGAGAAGACGAAATAGTTATGGTTGACATACTTGGAAAGCCTGTTAAGAATGATTCTGACAATAGAAACAGGTGTTTTATACATCATTTTGTAGATAATTTAATGTTGATTTACGAGATAACAAGTTTCAGCGGGATAGACAAACGCAAAATCGATGTATAATGGAAGGTCGCAACCGGGTGACATTTCTCATATACGAGTTTGGTACCTTGTGTTATCATGGTTATATTAAAGCATATACATGTATGTAATTTTTTTTCAGAGACAAGTGTCTATGCCGAGGCTCGCTCCTTGGTATCAAATACAAGAGGAAGCTTTCAACACTCTCTTTATAGTCTGTCAGTCCCACATTTGCCAAGTAAGTCAAATGATGGACTGGAGCTGTGCTGTCTGGGATTATTTTCATGCTACCACCATGGAAGCCTGATTGGTTCAGGCCATATGAACGAAAAGCAAATGGGTACCCCTTTTCTTTCTTTATTTTTCTTTATTATTTCCTATCATTCTTATATACTTGCTTATACATTTTTGGCTTTACCTTATATGATAACTCTATCTCTTGTGCCCACTGGAAGAGTTGAGTATTGGTCAGGATTGACAGTTCAACGTTAGATGTAGATAATAAATACACTTCTTGCCAGATTTAATTTATATATCAGCAATGTCTCAGGCAAGTTTGAAAATTAGTGGTAATCAACAATTTTCAAAAGCCCCTAGGATATATAAATTATATGGAATATTGCATTGTAAACTATATCAAACATTTATTTCTTCTAGGATACTTATGAAATTTATGTCAAAGGTTAAATATCAGCAATGTAGGGGATGAGTTCGAAAATCAGCCCTGATAGATTAACTGATGAAATTATGTTCCTTTGAAATGTAAATTGTATGGAAAATTGGATTTCAAATGCTCTTGAGCATACCTTTCTTGTAAGATTTTTGAAAATTTAAATCAAAAGTTTTATTAGTAATGTCTTGGATGAGTTGGAAAATTAGTGCCAATCAACTTTTTTTTACAGGGATTATGGCCCTTTGACATGTAATTAATATTGAAAATTCCATTGTAAGCACTCTCAGATACATATACCCCTACATTTCTTGTTTTATATATTTATATATTTATATTGTGTATATCATGTATATCAGAGATTAACAATTTTGTATATCAGCAAGGTTTTTGACATGCATGACAGTAAAGATAATAAGCACAGATCAAAATTTTTGCTCTCCTTGAAAATGTAAATTTTATGGAAAATTGCATTGTAAGCAATCTCCCTACATATCTTGTAGGATATTTATGAAAAAGTAAAGAAGAACCAAAACAAAATTATATTGGAAGTTATTGCCCATGGTCATATAATATATATGCATCGATTGGTGGACAATTGCTGTTTGTTTATTTTGTATCTGTTCTGCATATGGCTATGTAGATGAGGTCCTTTGAAATACCACCAACAGCATACCTGTTTTTTTCTTCAAATTTTAGAAAGTAAAGTACTTATTTACCTAAATAATGTGCACAGCAAAATATAAACAAATTTATGATCATGATGATGTTTAATGGACACCATCATGAGTTGGTCACATGTGACTACAGATATGTTCCAATTGTTGTAGCCACAATCCTGTCATCAACAAATTTGTACTGACCATGAGTAAACAGACACATGCCATACATGTCTTAGTATCAGGATTTGTTTTCCCTTCCTTGTCAACGGAGATCACTCCCAGGTTCTTGGTGGAGTTCGTGTTGCTCCGTCTCTATAGTTTCTAGGTATTGTATTGTAGACTACTAATTGTCTTTTTATTGTTTGTCTTTTTTTTCCATTTAGTTTTTCTATGACTAATGGTTCCCTGTGCAACACAATGTGGGGGATAAGATACAAGATACTTTATTGTGCCAATAACAGCACCCATTACTGAGCAGAATAATCATCATTATTACAAAACAATAGACAATATTTTGAACTAAATAAAATAACAGGTTATTAATGATTATTATGATTGTTATAAAATAAGGTTTAATACAAATTGAATGTAGAAAAAATAAAATCATAAAATAATGCAATGACGAAATTGACAAAATTTTGTAAGGAATTAACTCACTACAACTTAGACCAAATCAGTCATGAATCCATGTGACATGACAAGGTAGAAATACTGGCATATGTATGTGAACCTGTATGTCCGTTCTTCCAAACACTCTCACAGGTACAATTCTCACAAGATTTTTATTATACGACCGCAAAAAAATTCTGCGGTCGTATATTGCTATCACGTCGTCGTCGTCCGAAGACATTTGGTTTCTGGACAATAACTTTAGTTTAAGTGCATGGATCTCTATGAAATTTAAAAAAAGGTTCAATACCACAAAAGAAAGGTTGGGATTGTTTTTGGGGGTGATGGTCCCAACCGTGTAGGAATTAGAGGCCAAAAAGGGGCCAAAAACAAGCATTTTTCTACTTTCAGGACAATAACTTGTGTATAAGTATTTTGATTGCTCTGAAATTGTACCACAAGGTTCAGTACCACAAGTAGAAGGTTGGGAATCATGTGGGGGTTATTGCCCAAACCATTCAGGAATAAGGGGCCAAAAAGGGTCTAAAACAAGCATTTTTCTAGTTTTCAGACAATAACTTGTGTTTAAGTGTATGGATGTGTCTTAAATTGTACCACATTTTACGAAAAGAAAATTTCTTCAAACGCTATTTTTTTGGAGGGGGGATAAAAAAAAAAAATTTTTTTTTTGGGGGGGGGCGATTTTTTTTCCCTCAAGATTTAAGAAACTTAAAAGAAAATTTCTTCAAATATCATTTTTTTGGGGGGGTGTGTCAATTTATTTTCCCTCAAGATTTAAGAAATTGTCAATTTTCCTAAGAAAATTGGGGGGTCACAATTTATTCTTTGTATATAGTCTTAAAACAGATTTACTAAGTTTTGCGCAACAGCACAGTGTAATGCACAACAGCAAGAAATCTTCAATTGAATATAAATTCAAATCATATAACCAATTTCAAGTTCTTTGACTACATTTATTCTGTGTCAGAAACCTATAATGTGTCAAATATTTAATTGCAATCCAAATTCAGACCTGTAACAAGCTTGAATATTGTGTCCATTTTTGCCCCAGCTGTTCAGCTGCCCTCGGCCAAGCAGTTTATTCAATTTGTATCAAAGGTTTATATTAGCAATGTTTGGGACAAATTTCGAAAATTACCTGAATTTTGAAGTGTGTTCACTCCACTCTTTAAAATGAATTGTTTTTCTCGTAATAACATCATTACTTTAGAATCCCTTACAGTAAGCAAACTAAATTTTTTATATAATCTATATTGTGATATAAGCTATTTTAAACTTTAGGAATGATAAATGAAATTTTTTTTTAAAGAAATTATCAGACAATTCAAGCATCATTGATAGTTGTGTTAAAAAATAGTCTTGCTCTTCTTTTTCATCTGTTTAAAAAAAGAATTGACCCAGAGTGTATAAACAGGCTTGGCAGGGTTAGGGGAAACCAAATTTTTGAATTTTTGAGTTAAATGTCCTTTGACAGATTGAAGTATATGAAACTGCAGGGGGGACATTGGAATGCTCTTGTTTTATGAATTTTGATTGACCCTTCGGTAACTTTTTCCTCTTTTTTTTCCTGCTTTATGCAGGAAGATTTTAAATCTGAATTTCCTGACCTGGAAAGAACAATAATTGATAATCTTGCCATGCAAAGGCAGGATAATTTTGAATATTCTGCCCTTCAAAATGAAGGATATATGATGATTGTGTATAAAATCCAAAAAAGGGAAGCCTGTCTAGCAACAAGTGAAAATGAATATTCTGCTCATGCAAAAATTCTCCCTCCCTCTAATATTCCAAACAGTATATAATTATAGTATATAGTGAAAAAACAACCAATAAGAGTCCAAACTAAAATTTGAATTTCTAAGAAAAAATGTGTCTGTTTTGTTCAATAAACTTTTGGTTATAAACTTTTCCAGCAAATAATTATTTACATTTTCAAGGGAAAAAAATAATCAGGTGTTCAACACTTATTTATCAATCAACCTAGTAATTTTACACAATGACTTGTCCTCCCTGGCATTTAGGAATAAGTCAATAATTAAAGTATAGTCATGACAGTGGAGTCACCACCTATTGCATTTGAAAATTTGTTTACATATGAAGTAAAAAAAAAACTATTTCCTGTCTCTTCTTATAAAATTTCTCTTTTTTGCAAAAGGTTAAAACAGCAATGCCTGTGCATTGCTTAAAATACTTGGCAGACTGCACATCTTGAATACATGTGAAAAAATTTAATGTTTGCAAAAAAATAACTCCTAAAAAACAAGCCATGATTGATCAGGTTGATAAACATGCTACATACATGACATGTAAATAGTGATCCTTTACCTTAACTAGTAAATAAGTAGATAAAAAAGTAACTAAGGACTATTTTTAGAGAGTTACATTGTAAATCTTCATTGGTAAAAATTTGGTATCTTAATGTTGTCAGACATGACTGCAGTCAATGTACTTAGGGCTGGAGAATCATCCAGTTTTTCCACATTATTACTTCTAGTAAATGCTTGAGATAACATAAGATTTATATAAACCATATTTTTTATCAATTTGAAAAAAAATAAATTCATAAATGTGATTTTTTGTTTTTGTCATCCCAAAGCAAAGACTTAACCATCATTGACCATATATCAGCTTATATAAGTTTGTTACAAAGTTCTCCTGGTAAACAGCATGACAAAATTAAAAACATTTTTTTTTTTTTTTTTTTTGTATGTGTAATTTTTTTAATTCATTTTACATGTGTTTAAGGCCCATATAATTAAATTTTGGTAGTAACACGTCTGCTGATTAGCTGAAGTTTTTTGTCTATTAGCTCATAGACATAATTTTGTCATGTGACCATGACGTCATCAATGTTTTTTCATTATTTACTCCTTAAAAATGGAATTTAGAATTTAAATTATAAGAAATGACTAATATTTTTTCTGTCTATTTGAAATAACCTAAAAAATGTGGTGCACAATTTTAAATAACCCGCTAATGTTTTACCAAAATTATTACATCTAAATATTTAGTAAAATTTAAAACTGGACCTTTTGCTTCTTTTTAAGTAGCAGTGTTTATGCCTTTGATGCAATCATTCGTCTGTTAATTCCAAATTTGTTGACAAAAATGCTATAATGAAGACTTTATATAATGATCTAATACTCTCTTAACAGATTAGAATATTTTTCCTGTAAAATTCAAGGTATCTGCTTTCCAATTATGTAATAAAATATCACGGTTTGCAACCAAAATTTAACTGTTCGTGGGTGTTGAAAAAAGGGGGGGGGGGGGGGGGGGGGGGTAATTGATAAAATAATATGATTTTTTGGAAGAAAATAGAAGTAATTAAAATGTCAATATCCCAGATTTAGTACAGGGTCATCACCTGACATGACCGGTCATCCTATAAACACAGATGTTGATTCTGATAATTTTGGCATCATAATTAGTCCCAAGATCATTAATACAAATGTATTATATATTTCAAGCTACAATAAAATGAATTCACTTAGTCTAATGATTTATTTGTACTACATGTACTTAAATTGGTGATTATTAAAGAAAGATTACAGGCCAAAAGTTTTTACAATAATGGTTAACCGTATAAATTTTTACACTAATGTATTTCTTTCTAAAGGAAAAATAACACTGCTGGAAAAGATTCACTGTTACATATATAAGTAATCAGTTAGAATGTGAATGGAAAAGATTCACTGTTACATATATAAGTAATCAGTTAGAATGTGAATGGAAAAAATTCACTGTTACATGAATAAGTAATCAGTTAGAATGTGAATGGAAAAGATTCACTGTTACATATATATAAGTAATCAGTTAGAATGTGAATGGAAAAGATTAACTGTTACATATATAAGTAATCAGTTAGAATTTGAATGGAAAATCACTGTTACATATATATAAGTAATCAGTTAGAATGTGAATGGAAAAGATTCACTGTTACATATATAAGTAATCAGTTAGAATTTGAATGGAAAAGTTTCACTGTTACATATATAAGTAATCAGTTAGAATGTAAATGGAAAAGATTCACTGTTACATATATAAGTAATCAGTTAGAATGTGAATGGAAAAAAAATCACTGTTACATGAATAAGTAATCAGTTAGAATGTGAATGGAAAAGATTCACTATTACATATATAAGTAATCAGTTAGAATGTGAATGGAAAAGATTCACTGTTACATATATAAGTAATCAGTTAGAATTTGAATGGAAAATCACTGTTACATATATAAGTAATCAGTTAGAATGTGAATGGAAAAGATTCACTGTTACATATATAAGTAATCAGTTAGAATGTGAATGGAAAAGATTCACTGTTACATATATAAGTAATCAGTTAGAATGTGAATGGAAAAGATTCACTGTTACATATATAAGTAATCAGTTAGAATTTGAATGGAAAATCACTGTTACATATATAAGTAATCAGTTAGAATGTGAATAGAAAAGATTCACTGTTACATATATAAGTAGTCAGTTAGAATTTGAATGGAAAATCACTGTTACATATATAAGTAATCAGTTAGAATTTGAATCGAAAAGATTCACTGTTACATATATATAAGTAATCAGTTAGAATGTGAATGGAAAAGATTCACTGTTACATATATAAGTAATCAGTTAGAATGTGAATGGAAAAGATTCACTGTTACATATATAAGTAATCAGTTAGAATGTGAATAAAGAATATCTGACAGGTTTTTTCAGACAACAATGTCCATGTTTGAAAATCTATGCTACATGTACTTTTTGTACTACCTACATACAAATACCAGTGCCACCTGTTGTTTAATGTAAGCTAAGCGTGCTCATACATTTGTACATAGTGTAAAATAAAACATAACATAATACACAGTGTATTGGTTTTATATGATAGCAACCAAGGAATATAAACTGATGTTTACCTTTTGTAAGTAGTAAACAGATTTCATTGAATGTTGATAACATTTATTGTACATATATGTAACTTATATGAAAAGATTTGATAGGCAATATGTTTTCTGAATTTTAAAATCCAGTTTGAATTTTACACGTTTTTAAGATTTGGTCATGCACAAATGATCAATCAATACATCATGTACACATGTACCTTGTAAAAAATGCATGTAAAAGTTGAAATATATATTTTTATGTCTAATATTTGTTTAGCTAAAACTAGTTATAATTGATTGACTGTATTGAAATTTTTTTTATTTTCAGGGGAAGTTTGATGCAACATGGCAGCGGATATTTTTCAGTGCAAAAACATAAACATCATAGTTTATGTTCTAGTAGCCCTGTTTGGTATTGGATCCTGGGTAGATATAAATGGATTATGGGTAGAACTTCCTGTGATGGTGCCACACCTCCCAGAGGGATGGAAATTACCATCCTATTTGTCTGTCATTATACAAATGGCTAACATTGGACCACTCTTGGTAACTGCAATGTATGTGTTTTGTAAAAGTTACATGAAAGAACGAGTTGCAGTTTATGCTGTCTTAGGCATCGGAGCAACCTCATGTTTACTGTTATCGTTTTTCTGGCAGGAAACAACATACATCGCTGGAGGTTTTCACAGCACAGCTTTATTAGTTCTCCAGTTTTTCCTAGCACTAACAGACTGTACGACATCTGTTCTATTTTTACCTTTCATGGCCACATTTAAAGCAGAATATATGACCGGTTATTTTATTGGTGAAGGACTGAGTGGACTTGTACCAAGTATTGTAGCTCTTACTCAAGGAGTTGGTCAACTTACGTGTAAAAATATATCTAGCTTGAATTCCACAACAAATGTGACGAGTTATAGCATACAACCTATTTATCATAGCATTCGTTTTAGTGTAGAAGAATTCTTTTATTTTCTGTGTGCAATGTTAGTCATTTCCATCGTGTCATTCACTATTTTGAATTACACATCATACTGTAAGAAGGAGAAAGTCAAACATCAAGATGACTATGAAGAAGTTGAGTCGAGCACTGATAATCAAATGATGAGTAGTTACGAACTGAACCCAGATCAAGCTTTTAGTATATCAGCACAAAATTTTGAAAATAATTCAAATGAATTTATAAATCCTTCTGCATTAAGTTCAAGAAATCAGCTCATGAAGAAGAACAAACAACTTGATATTGATTCAAAATCAGTAGATATAATTCAATTCCGTGAAATATTGTCAACAAAGCTCTTTATATATTATCTAGTCTTAACTGCATGGGTAAACTGTCTTTCAAATGGAGCACTGCCGTCCCTACAGACTTACTCAACCTTGCCTTTTGGGAATGATGCTTATCATTTGTCTGCCACTTTGGCAAATATAGCCAATCCTCTTGCCTGTATGGTGGCATTTTTCATTACAGTAAAATCAAGCATTGTGATCTCAGTTTTAACATTCCTAGGAACTGCCATAGCTGGTTACATTATATCTTTAGCTGTAGAGAGTCCTAATCCAGTCCTGTATAATACTACAGCAGGCTCTGTGATAGTGGTAAGTATCCATAGCAGGTTACATTATATCTTTAGCTGTAGAGAGTCTGAATCCAGTCCTGTATAATACTACAGCAGGCTCTGTGATAGTGGTAAGTATCCATAGCAGTTTGCATTATATCTTTAGCTGTAGAGAGTCCGAATCCAGTCCTGTATAATACTACAGCAGGCTCTGTGATAGTGGTAAGTATCCATAGCAGGTTACATTATATCTTTAGCTGTAGAGAGTACGAATCCAGTCCTGTATAATACTACAGCAGGCTCTGTGATAGTGGTAAGTATCCATAGCAGGTTACATTATATCTTTAGCTGTAGAGAGTCCGAATCCAGTCCTGTATAATACTACAGCAGGCTCTGTGATTGTGGTAAGTGTATAGCTAATTATAGGTTATTGATGGTGCAAACAAATTACTATAATGAAATGAGATGTATGGTATACATCAAAGAGAGCAACCTAAAGATTATTTAACCAAAGGACATCTAGAGGGCAACATATAGTTTAAAACAACAGACAAGTGTCTATATAAATTGTCAAGCTCTAAATCCTTCTGAGCATGCTGAGTCTTACTAATTAGTAGAAATCATCAAAGATCCAGCAGCTATTAAATTAACACTCAATTCTCCAAATAAAGAAGAAAATTAACATATGACATACATTTGTACAATTACTACTGAGAAAAGTCATGACTTGGGGACAGACACAATATACTATCCACCAAATATTTAAGATATCATATATATATCAAAAACCATGAAGACAATGAAAGAAGTTAGAAGAGATGATTCAATTTGTTGGTGTGTTTTTGAATTTAAGAATCTCCGTGTTATGAATACCTGTATTATCATGATCCTTTATATTTTCACCAGTCAGATATCTGCATGGAATCAATAATAACATGTAGAAATGTATCCTAAGATATTATTGAATATTTGTTTTAGGTCTTCAATCGTTTATGTGTACATGTTAACACTGTCACTCCAGAAGAGAATTTTATCCTTTCACTTGCTTTATATTTAGTGTGTGAAAAGTATGTCTAGTAATAAGGGACAATGTCTAGTTCTTAAAGTTGCATACAACAATATTTACTTCATGTTTTATTAAAAAAAATCAAGACATATTGTACATGTCATATGTCATTTAAACAGTTAATAGGAGGAAAAGATAAAAAATTATCTACATTCTGAAAAATATATCTTAGTATTTAAAGTACATATTGATTGCTTCAAAAGTAATTAATTTGCAATAATATATTATTGAAAACTTTTAATTTTCGATAAGGATACATTTTAGTCACTTCCATTTCAAGTTAAAATGTAGGTCAAAACTGTCAAAAGTCTATATTTAATGACCCTTGTTGACCTTGAACACCATAATACATTGTACTTAGGTACCAACAAATTTATGACCCAAAAATTGACATTAAATAAATTGAACACATGTACTACTTAAGTTAGCTGGGGAAATTTAAGTACCATTATATCAATATTATATATTATACCCCATATCCTTTGTTTTTCTATTGTGATCTCAAGTGTGAAAATTTTTCAAAACAAACCCCTCAATAAGAATTTATTTTTTAACATAATAACCATGATAACATCGTAAACTCTCAGCCAATATGTTTATGATTTACTTCACCTTGTTTATTTTCTTTATTTAGATTGCTGCCTGGATATTGGTTGTGTTCATATTAACCTTTATCAAAGTTTCCATTGCTGGAATCTTCAGAGAAGAAGGTAAAAAAGCTCTATTATGGATTGGTGGCATATCTCAAGTTGGTTCAGCTATAGGAGCAATAGTAACATTTGTATTGGTTAATGTGTATGAGATGTTTGAAAGTGCTCCTACATGTCCATCATAATTATACATCATGTACATGTTGTATTTTTCATTGTGTAAATAAATATCTGTTTTGTTTAAACAATGCTAAAAGGTGTATGTTTTTTTTTTACAATGAAAATTAATTTACTAGTCTAACATGTCTAAGGTGTATGGGTTATCTATTTTTCAATGATCTCATCTTTTTAAAAATAAGAAAAAATGCTATGAATATGGGATTGTTCTTTTTATAAATTCTCTAATATCATCAATGTCTAGGTAGTTCTTTTTCTATGTATCAAAATCATTCATATAATATTTTCTTTGCTTAAAGAGCTTTAGGTTGCACTTCTGTAAATATAGACAATGCAATTTCCCATAGGAACTCCTTTTACTGTAGCACTTTTACTATGAAGTTTCTTAAAAATTTATATCCTAGAATGGAAAGCTCATATGCACTGCTATTTTTTTCAAAGTCCAAAATATAGGGCTGTGCAGCATATTTTCAACATTTATATTATAGTAGGTAAACAAAACAAAATATCTATGAATATTATATATCTCCCCAAAAGAGGTGTGGTTTGTGAAACAGCTGTAATTACAAAGTGCAACCTATAAACAGAAATCATGAGAATCAAAAAGTAACAAATGTAGTACATGTCTAATGGTGTCTGTAGTTAGCTTTTATTACAATCATAAAGTCATTTGCTGTGACTTTATCTATAGATATGTAAAAATCATGATAATAGGACCAAACATCTAATGACAGGTTTATACCCACCATATTGTACAGCTATCTGGCTTTTCAGGGAATAAGATGAGTGTGAAAAGAATTTGGTTGCTGAGATCCGCATGGAATCTGATATGTCTTTGAAATTTGTTACTACTGACATCTAGTCTAATCATATTGATATTAGTAATGTTTTTTTTCTTCAAATTTTTAGAAGGGTTAGAATAAGATGTCAACCCATTTTGGATTAGAATTTGTAAAGAAAAGTTAAATTTCTTTAAAATTCAGTAAATTGGATTGGTATTTTTGAAAAATGACCAGGACAAGTACATGCAAAATAAATCTTCTTGAGGTTCAAAATCCATAGTTTCCAAAGTTGCTACTTATGTTAACGTAAACAACATACTTGTCAACCTAAACTATCGTCTTTCAAAATCTGAAAAAGAATGGGGTCACTCTATCCCTATTTAATTTTATATTATAGTAAAAGTGCTAACTTGCTGGGTAAACTCGTGCTATTTTGTATGATGCAGAGGTGGGTTTAGAGGGTTTTTCAGGGGGCGCGGGTCCACCTTTTGTGGGAAAAGTTTGGTTGATTATATAGGGAATCACTGAAGCATGACTGCAGCGGGCCTCCTCTTAGGCAGTCAGTGGGCCCCCCTTAATGAAAATTTCTGGATCCGCCACTGTGATGCATGCTAAATTATAGTTCACTCTATACCATGTAAGACTTTACTTTGGAGTCTTTCCTTTTGAAACGGTATACATTAGGGAGCTGCCATTTGGTTTTTATGGGGGGCTAGGATGAAAAATTTTGTCCTGCCTTTTTTTTTAGTTTTAATCTCTGTCCTGCCTTTTTATTTTTTCACTCTATTCGGTCCTGCCTTTTTTTTTTTTAGTTTATCCTGACTTTTTTTTACATAAATTGTCATCCTGCCTTTTTTTTTTGCAAAGTGTCATCCTGCCTTTTTTTTTTACTCAAAACTCCTGTCCTGCCTATTTTTTTCAAATTTCATCCTGCCTATTTTTTATGTACAAGTATGAAATATATAGAATATTAGATTTTGATATTTGAGATATAACCAAACAGTCATGTGACTCTTCTCTGCAATTATATGCTGTGTGCAATATGGGACCATATATATTTTGTAATTTTGATATCTATTGATAGCATTTTATTTTTATCAAAAGTATTAGACCATTTTTTTTGTGATTTGCTGATGTATGCATATGTGTAATTACCTGCGACGTGTACCAGTTACCTTAAAAGTGATTTTTGATTAAATGTAAAGCTTGGGTGTCGGGAAACATACAGTTTTTATTTGTAAATATTTTCAGAAAATTCGAATGAGGTCAGAGGCACAAATCTTCCAAATTTCCTAGTACTATCTTGCTCTTATGTGATGATGCCAGTTACTATTGTTTTGACATCAGATATAGGTTTGTATCTATTTAACTGAACTCAATTAGATAATGTAGCATAGAATAATTTTTTTTTTTCAAACACCCATTTTTTATACGACCGCAAAAAAAAAGTGTCGTCCGAAGACATTTGGTTTCCAGACAATAACTTTAGTTTAAATGTATGGATCTCTATGAAATTTAATCAAAAGGTTCAATACCACAAAAGGAAAGTTGGGATTGTTTTTGGTGGTGATGGTCACAACCGTTAAGGAATTAGGGGCCAAAAAGGGGCCAAAACAAGCATTTTTCTAGTTTTCAGACTACAACTTGTGTTTAGGTGTATTGATGTCTCTTAATTTGTACCACATTTTACAAAAAGAAAATTTAATACACATGATATTCAATGTATACAATTTATTTGAACTTTCACTAGTGACAATACTACAATAGAAGTTCTGACCATTCAGTTAAAGGGATAGAAATAAGATCTACACCAATTTTAAAGTTTGGCTAGCAATGAATAGTCTAGCTCTTAAACTATCAACAATAAAAGCACTTTTCCCTTTGTTTTTGGTTTGTCAAGTATGTGTACATGAATGTTGTGTTTTCAATTCATATGCCTTCCTGTCCTTTACCTAGTAGAGTTTGTCACTTTTGATATGTTGAGATTGTTTTCATACTAATTTATTTACATCTTGATGTGTTCCATGTTGTCAAAATGTTTTTATAATTTTACAGTCAGATTATTATTCAAATAATGACAGTACTTTAAATATATTTGTTGGATTTCTTTGCCATTATTTGCTAGTCTTTCATTTTATTTATATCATCTACATTTATATGTGTACTGGGTACTTCAAGGCATACATGTAGATATGGTAGAGTGATTAACATCTAGCACATAGTTCTGTAGTGAATTGACATGCAAGCTTTTGCTACATGTTTTAAAGGTTTTAGTATATCATTGTGATTATGAAATGAAGAACAACACGTTATGTCATTTGATTTATTAAGTGCATGTAGGAATTTATACATAATATCCATTCTTTTTCATATCAAATAATAGTTCTAATTAAAATGTTTTTGATAACTTTGCTCAAATGCATCTATTGACAAACTCAGTTATCTCATTGGCACTCATACCACATTTCTTAAATCTATCATATATACTGTCTTAAAACAATTCAGTGAGATGGGTTATTCCTATTAAATAAAACAGACAGGCTAACATCATATAATCATTTTTCTTTTTCCTTTTCTTTAATGTCACCCAAAGAAAGTAACAAAACAGTTAGCAGAATTTGAAGTTTAGTAAATCTGGACTACTCAAAAGAGGAATTTCAGATGTAACTCAAAATTAAAATAAAACTGACAGTTTAATTTGCCTTGAAATTGTCGAGCAGTTATAATGGTTTTACTTAAATGGTTTTACTTCGCAAAAATATACAGAAGATTTATACAACTGGCATGAAATCTTAAAACAGAAAGACAGAGTTAATGTAGGTGAAACCTAGCATACTAAACAGGGCAGAAGTCCTTTCAGTCGGATAACATTGTCTTGATTGTATGAAGGAGTTTGATTAAGGGAAAGATTTTGATAGATTTCAAGTACTGGTACTGTGTAAAATATGTCATTTACTCATTGTCTTTTTTAATTACTTTACATCTTTTGTAGACTAATGAGACACAGTTTCTGTGTTTGTTCATCATTTAACACCACATAGTTCTTTCCGGTTAACTTTGTTTTGGTGATGTTGTGTAGTGGTTTTCTGTCTCATTGATATTCCCACATCATCTTTAATTTCTAATATATACATGTATATATATATATTTATTGAACTAATGTTGTTTTGTTTTCAACATGAAATTGTTTTTGTTGCTATTATTGTAATATTGAATATTATTTTCAGAACAAATCATACAGTTTTTTTAAGATAAACAAATTCAACTTTCTGTCCACAATGAATCAAAAGTACAAACATTATTGTATCAGCTTATTCTAAACATTTTTCTGACTAATGTTTCATCAGTCATGTCAGTAACATCATCATAATAATTATAACAATTTTGAGCAAAAAAATCTGGACACCTTTTAAAGCACATCCACACACAAGCAATAAAAAACCAAACAAATCTCAAGAGGGACCTCTTTGGTGGTTGTTTTTTTATAGGAAAAATTCCAAAACAGCTTAGATAAGAGCAACGACTGGATTAATTATTAGTCCCCTACTGACGAAGTCGAAGGGGACTTTAGGTTTGCCCTCCGTCTATCTGTCCATCTGTCAGTCCGGCAAATCAGTTTTCCAGACTTTTTTTCTTCGTGCGTGAAGATATTGATTTGATATTTGGTTAATTGATTTATCACGACAAGTTACAGGTCAAGTTCAGTTTTCACGATTTTAGCTTTTAGCTTTTCTCTTTGTTCAGTTAAAGCCTTTTCCCTAGAATTAAATTTTTGATGAAATACTTATTAGTTAGAAGATTTCTGTTCAAAGGGAAATAACTAATTTTTTTCAAAGACAAAATGACATTTTGGATTTTTTTCCTTTTCTTTGGTAAATTGTTTGATGAATTTTGTGGTAGGTTTGTTTGTCATTCTCGAAGATATTGATTTGATAATTAGTATATAGTTTTATCATGACAAGTTACAGATCAAGTTGGAATTTTGTTCCAGTCTGATAATTTGTGCAGAGTTATGGTCTTTGGACATAGATAATTCACTTAAATAATCAGTTTTCAACAGTTTTTTTCGTCATGCTTGAAGATATTGACTTGATATTTGTATGTAGTTTACACCATGACAAGTTATAGATCAAGTTAGAATTTCGTTCCATTACAATGAATTTGTAACCGGTAGGGTACTATGTATTGCCATGCAATACTCACAGAATGCTTGTTGTGACTGTTATTGTCTACCAATTGCAATATTTTTACAAAGTATATGCTAATGGTATGGTGATGTTATACAGATGGGGAACAGTGGGTATCTAGTTTATGTAATGAACCACTGTTTTCGACCGAGATACCTGAAACTCTACAGAAAAGAAAAATGGCACACATGCTGAAGTTGTGCACCTGCTATAATGGAATTGTATATGGAAGTTTACCATCAAAACTTCATCATCACTGGTCATCAAAGTATTCCAAAGATGGTACCCGTTTTGTGTAATCAACTCCTACAATTAAACCTGGATCTCTGAAAATTTTCAAAAATTTGCTCTCATATTGAAGTTATACATCTGCTATTATGGAAGTGGTTGAGACATTTAGTCCCATTTTTCTGAACTTGGTCATTATCAGCAAAATTTACAAAAGGACTGTATCCTGTTATGTAATCAACTCCTACAGTTTTCAATCCAGATCCTTGAAACTTCTAAGAATGGTTGTACATATATTGCAATTGTGCAAATGCTATTTTATAATTGTGTAAGGAATTTTTTACCATTTTCGAGACTTTGGACTTAGTCATTTGATTCAGCAAAATATTCAAAACATGGTAACAATTTTTGTCAGAGTTAGACCAAGTCTAAAATCGATTATAGTTATGGTGATGTTGGGCGGAAGGGTGAGGGAATTTTGTGTAATCAACTCTTCAAACAGTGTTCAACTGAGATCTATAAAACTTCACAGAAAATATGCACACACAATTCAGTAATACACTTAGTATTACGGAATTGTTTAAGGAGTGATTTCCAATCTTTCAAGATTTTGGAACTTAGTCATTTCAACAAAATTTTCCAAATACGGTGCCAATGTTTTGTAATATCTATCTACAGTTGTCAACCCATTTCCTCTACATTTTACAGAATGGTTGCACATATATCGCAGTTGTGCACATGCTATTATGGAATAGTTTGATGATTTTTCCGGTTTTTCCAGACTTGGGAACTTAGTCATTTCTTTTAAAAAAAAATAAGAGATGGTTACAATTATTGTTTTTAAACTCAGATCTGTAGAACTTTACATAAAGTTTGCAAACCTATTAAGGTTTAGACCAAATAATGTAGATTTTAGAAACTAAAAGGTCGCAATACGACCTTCAACAATGAGGAAAATCCATATCGCACAGCTAGCAAGCTCTAAAAGCCCCTACATGACAAAATGTAAAACAGTTCAAATGAGAAAACCTGATGTACAAATCAGTATCAAAAATGTATACGCAAATAACAACAAACGAAAATCAAATATGATATACAGTTACAAAAGACAAGGACTGAATTACAGGCTCCTGACTTGGGACAAGCAAATTCAAAAGAATGAAGATTTTACATTGCAAAGGTAATCCGTCTTAATTTTTACAATTTGGCACAAACTAGCAAGGTCGAATTA